CTGAGGTATTCAGGCACACCCTTGTCCTGAACGGAGGACGTCGGAGCCTCAGGTGACGTCCGCACAGCTGTGGCTTCGCTCATCTTGTCATATCTGTTTAGTAAATGCAAGTGTACCAATGGCAACAAGAAGGGACCAGGCTGTCTTTCACTTTGCTTGTGTGCAATGATTATATTTATTTAGCAACTGGCTTTAGGCCTAAGGTTCATCACTGTAACAATGATTATGCAGCAAACAATAATATCATTCTGCAGAGCTAAAGGAAACAATAACATCAATAACAATAAAAATAATATTAAACCATAATAAAAAAGGATGATTCATGTAATATTCTTTAAGTCCTGCATCTGAATCAACCTGCCTGTACATGCAATAATAATGATCACAATAATAAAAATAAGAATATTAAAAATAATAAAAATAAGAATAATAATAAAAAGATAAAGAAAGAGAAAAAAAGGAATTTTACTGAACAAGTATGACCTTAAGATATACAAAATAATAATTTTTAAGACAACTTTCCTCTCAAATTTCCTTTTTTCTGCTGGTACTATTTTAAATATTCGAACTATTCAACATTTCATAGTTGTTCCCCAGTAGTTACTAAATCTTCTGCCTAACATAACACATTTGACCTGAAACACCTAACCGAGAACACTTTCAATTTCAACTCCAAATTTTTCACATGCTAAAAGGAAAATTAACAATTATTTCCACTTGAACACTTGCCAAGCACTGACCAAAGTAATAACATTAAGTAAAACACTCCCCCCCCCCCCTAGAATAGGTTGAGTATCTATCAAATGTCAGTGATATACAACTCACTAATCTGTGGATGTATAATCTAAAATATACAAACCCATTCACTTTTGTGACAAACTTTATAAATTGCTAACTTACATACATTAAAAGTAATAGATTCTGCCTTTTGATGCTTCATTACTTGTATTTTTTTTTGTGCTTTTGCTTGCAGTACTTCACGATAATGCTGGGCACTAGTTCTAATCTAACTTCATATCAATAGAGAAAGTACATCTTTCTAAATTGTGTTGTTTCTTGAAATTGTTGGTTTGGGGTAGGTGATGATCACATCATCATCATCATCAATTAGTATATAGGGAGAACAAAGTGTGTGTCCAGGCACAGACACTTCAATGTCAAAAGTACAAGAGAAAAAAATCTCTGTCTATACTTCGTTTGCACAATGCTTCTTGTACTGAACAGAATGTGAACTACTTGGAAGTATATGAAGTGTGATCAACTAAAATAGTCTGTTACTGTTTTGATATAGCACAAGTGAATGTTTATTTTTGAAAATAGAACAATATTACCTGTATTGCACAGAGTGTAAACTATTTAGATATATAACTTTGAGTCTTCTCAATAAACCACCATGATAAAGCATAAGAAATGACAAATATAGACCATGGAAAATTGCAATACAGCAAAAACTTGCTTGCAAAAAATAGCATAATGCTCTTTATCACTGCACTGTCTAAGCTACTTAGACAGATAATATGAAAAGAATTTATCACTCTGTTCATGTAACATTGATAATCTTTAAGATCTGAATAAAGTGAAAATATAAAAAAGATAACATGAATAACACAATATCACTTGATTTGCACAGAGGATAAACTATTTGCAGATATAATATGGAGTCTGCTTTATGAAAAAAACAAGCAAACTATTGTCAGCATGATATTGCATAACAATTTACTGATACAGACTTTGTAAAATGACAATATAGCAAAAAAGTGGCTAATAGTGGAGGCAAGGAGGTTCGATCCTGTACGTGAGTATTCGTGTAGCCCAGGCCTACTACCCACACACCGAGAGTCACTGCCCTTGTAGATATGCCCGGATTTTGGACCATACACGAGCCACAGGGGTTAAGTGTGAAAAGCAGAGAAGTAAATGAAAGAGAAAATAAAATAAAAGAGGAAGAAAGTTCTTGGTCTTATTTCCAATTCTACTGCCTATAATCGGTCTATATTTAGGAATGTAGAATAAATTATGCAATGACACTCATTTGTGAGTTAATAATCTTGTAAGTCTCAATAAACTCCTCAAATTCTTCAGTAAAGCATTAATTTTTGAGGCTCATACAAATTTTCTTGTGTTACTAATTCTATGCCAAAAGTGAACATTAGTGTTTCATATCAAGTCACTTGCACTTTTAGTCAATTGAAGCTTAGTAGAGATGACATAAATATATCCAAATCCACTATGACTAAGCTTCATCATCACTGGAAAAAAATTATTTTCAAGTCAATTTGTAAAAGAAGCTTTTCTAAAGACATTGAAAAATACCAGGATCTGTTTCTGAACCAGCAATTCTGAAGTTCCTAAGTTCCCTAAAGGATCTAAAAGATATTTCCAATCAATATACTTCTACACCCATCTGCTCTCAAAAAACTAAGCATCTAATCATCCTCCCTCCTTATTAGATAAATATAGACTTGATAAAATTTACCAGCAGTGAAAGACCTGTCACAAC